AGAAAAAATCGCACAGCACGCGCGTGCAAACCACTGCCGTCATTTTTGACGGTTTATGGGGTTTCGTGCATGCAAAAGTATATTACAAGGGGGTATGGCGCAATTTTTAAAATACAAGGGGAAAACGCGCAGATTTCATATAATACAGGGGAGTTTGGCGCAATTTACCCTTTTTGGGAGGTGGAGATAAATCACGGTTATCGAGAGTCGAATTTTGCGGCGGATTATTTGGCGTCGTTGGCGGCTAAAGGCCCGGGTGGCTTTCACACGTTGGCGAGTCCCCCTTCGGGAGTCGGCATTTGGTTGCACCATGATAGAGTTGATGTGTCGTACACTCGATCGGTTATTCCGTAGGCTTTCGTAGCCTCCTTCTTAGCACCAAAAAAAAAAAAAAAAATGGCATATCTCCCATCTCCCATATATATATAATATATAATATATATAATTCTCGAATGCGCTGATCCTACGTGGCTGCTTCTAGTGCTTTGGAATCCTACTTCGCGAAGAATCATGCTTCGTAATTAGGTTTGGACAAATAATATTGATATTTTTTTTTTTTTTTTGTACAGGGACCTTCCGGTTTCTGGATCCACAGGGGAACCGACTAATCCGGAATCGAGCCGGGTAGGACCACAAGGGCGGCAAAGCTCTCCCTCAAGAGTTTTAACACTATTGATATATTAATAATTAATAATCTAGGTTTGGACATTCCATAAATATTATTTAGCTAACTTAGTTATTTTAATATCACTTGTACTAATATAACCCTTTAAATAGTGAGACACTAAGTGACTAATATGTCCCTGACTTTTGATTTGTTTCCTTCAATTAGCTATTGAATTGTAAATATATTTTAAAAGTTGATAACTTTTGTATTTTTTATCGGTTTTACATATATAATATATCAAATTAATCATCTTTTGATGATTTTCAATTTGACATCCATATTGTATATATTGAAATAAATAAATTATAATTATATTTATAATAATAAATAATAATTATATTTATTAAAATTCATTAGAAAAATAAAATTATTTCTCAATTGATATATTTATGTTTAATGTAGTTATATGTTGTAAGTTAAAAAAATTATTATAATATAACACAGGCAAGTCGCACAAATAAAAAGTGTCATACTAAATATATTATAATATATATTTTTATAAAAGGTATTTAATTTTCTAACTATTTTTCTCATTAATTTTAGATTAAAAAAAATAAATTAGCAAGCACCCGTGTAATACACGGGAGTTGTACTAGTATATATAATTCCCGAATGTGCTGAGCTTACGTGTCTATTTTTTGTGCTTCGAAATCCTACTTGGCAAAGAATCATACTTCCTAATTAGTTTTAGACAAATAATATTGATATATTAATAATTAATAATCTAGGTTCAGATATTCCATAAATATTATTTAGCTAACTTAGATATTTTAATATCACTTGTACTAATATAACCCTTTATTTCTGTATAATTTTAGATAGTGAGACACTAATTGACTAATATATCCCTGACTTTTGATTTGCTTCCTTCAATTACCTATTGAATTGTAAATGTATTTTAAAAGTTGATAACTTTTGTATTTCTTATCGGTTTTACATATATA